ATGATAAGAAATACAAAAATATAAAATTGCTAAACTTCCGTATAATGTTTATAATACAGTATTATGTATATTGAATATTTTCCAAAATTGCCACGGTCTCCGCGATATTACTCTCTCGGTAAATTTTCCAAAATTCCCCGGCAAAAGTTTCCAGGTGGCGTAATTTTTAACGACACGTCAGACGATGATGTAACAGACGCGATGGAAGGGCAAGGAAAAGGGAAATAATTTCCAAAGGGGGAGGTGGCCAAGAGGTACTAGAGCTACGAGAACGTGAGACGAACATCACGTGCTGAATTTTCCCAAGACGTCACGTAACACGCGTAGCTTGCCTCGACCCTTCCTGTCCTATTTCAAACCTTCGAAAGCTAATTTCCCTGACAGAGACGTTTCCATTCGTTTCCCTTCCTCCTTTTTCATCCCCGGCCGCAAACCCCGGCCGAACAAGAGAACTAAATCAATGTAGGACATTTATATTGGCTGGAAATCGCTGACTCCTCTCGCCACTGTGGACACCCACCGGGACATATTAAGATTTCTGATCGGGCTCTCGCCGACCGGCCCGACATTTTTATTATTGCGTGTCCACCGGAATCCGCCCGAGGCACGAACCTGAGGAATAAAACGTGAATTATTGGCCACGCGGCGTCTTCCCGCCGATTCGATTCGATCCGATTCGATTTCGACGCTTCTCGCGTTTGCCGTCGAATTTTCGGTCGAATCGCATCTGTCTTCTGGGGAATTTTTCGGGGAGCAACTACTAGTACATTCGAACAGTTGTCACGGAAGAAGTTTACGCGTGTCGTAAAGACTTTTTTCAGACTTTATTAATGTTAACTTGTGTCTTGATTATTTGCATTTGTAAAACTTGAATCCGGTATAGAGGACGAGTGTAAGTGTTTTATGACTTATGAGTATTAACCACTTGCGCTGGCAACTGATTGCGGACCGTAACGAGTGACCAAACTGTATACAATAGTTCGTCGCTTTCTTTTTGAACTCGTCGATATGATGTCGCTAGATAATTACCGAAATTATTGAGAAGTAATAAATTTATTATTTGTTTTGCCTATTTTGTTTTACCTAATATATACTTAAAACTGAGAAAATATTGCAATTTTGGGACAAGAAATTCTCGAGAATTCCAGCGCAAGAGGTTAATCGAATTCTCTGATATGCTTGTACCTATTAAATATCTCGTGATCTCTCGTATGTATTTTCAGTTCTATTCTAGGCTTGACCAATCAAAGTTGTCTCATTACAAGATATCGTTCAGACTTTTACTTCAATCTTGGCGAACAAGTTCTTCGTCGTTTCAAAATCCATCTCGGAACAACGCACGACGCGTTCATTAAACGCTGCCATAAATGTTTCACGAGCAATTACAATTGGAGTTCAGTGAATTTGCGTAATAACGGTCCACTTGTTCGCCTTGCTAGCCGTGACTTTTCATTCGCAAGAAGCAAATTTATTCTTGAACGACATTCCATTTTGGATCATTACAGACCAACAGAGACAGAACAAGCGCCGTTCCAATCTCCAAATTGTCTCTAAGTGTCGGTAATAACACGCGAGTGATTCTTTGTAAAGTTGAACTTATCATAATATCATTTTCTCTCTCTCTCTCTCTCTCTCTCTCTCTCTCTCTCTCTCTCTCTTTAAGACGACGAGATACTGAGCACGCGTTACTTTTTTAAACATCGGGAGAAATATGGTCGAAAAGCGGGGAAAGGAGAGAGAAAATCGGAATGCAAATGAGGCTACGGGCTGAAAAGCCACCGATGTCAAAGCAATTCATTTAAATTAATAGGTCCAGAGGCCGTGCGTTTATCGCGCGATTAGTAGCAGCTTTTTTTCTTCCATAACCCCCCCCACTATATGGCCAGCTATTTGTGTTTGTACTGGCGTTATCGACTGCTGCCAACGATAAATCCGATGCTTTTATCGCGTACAATTATGTGCCCCCGTTCCTCCCTCGCGAGATACGCACTCACGCGTACTGAACGCTCTCGAAGATCTTTTGTTCTTAGAACTACACACATAGATTTCGCATCGCGTTTTTTCCGCTTTGCCAACTCGATCACATCGTTTTCATCAAAGAAAAATTGTTTCTCCGCCCTCTCTGCAATTTTTTCCTTTTTTTTTTTTTTCTTTTCTTTTCTTTCCTTCTATCGAGACTCCTCGGTTTTTAACCCTTTTACCCCGAAGAGCAACGACGGCAAAAGATAGTTACAATTGATACTTTGTGCGTAAGTGAAATTTGTGTTAAGTGTATACTCGTCTACTCTGTGTACTCAGTTTTCTTGTCAATTGTAATTTTTGCCATGTTTTGTTTAATTACAACTTGTTGTTGTATTTTTTAAATTTTCTTGTAATCATCTGTATGTACGTTCGTGTTGCATACGTTTAAATGTTAACGTTATACTTCTCTAGTAATCTATTTTGAAGTATTTACTGATGTCGTTAAGTATGATTCTTAAAAATATGGTATATTTTCTTAATATTGATCCCCTGATCTTCTTTCTGTCCGTCTATTAATTGAACGTAATATTCCTAAAAATATTAACATTAACGTGATTTACTATTTTTAGTAATAACTGGAGGTTAGAAAATTCTATCAAGAATTTACAGAATTCTTGCAAGTAACTACTGTCAAATCTGTTAAAAAAAAAATCAGAAGAGAAGTTACAATTAATATTTATAGTAATTCATTTTTCATAAAATTACGTGACGTTCAACACAAGTCGTATTACTTAAAAAAAGCGTAAACTCGAATTATTTTCAATTTCATTGCAACACTCAAAGATCTAGACAATTTATTTTATTTAAAGCTACAATCTATCGACAAACTGCAATTATACAAATTGGCCTTTGAAGAAAATCGAGAGCTGCTCGATAACTCGCGTTATCAAAAAGGACGGATCTAAACGCGTGTTGAGCTTGTTGGTAACGAAGCGAGTTCCACTATTGGTCCTTATCAACCCCACTACCGGGCACGGTTAATCGGCGCGCTGACGTGCTGCAAGTTCGCTCGCAGTCTCGTGTCACCCTTCGCGTCGTCGGTATCGAATTCCTCCCCTAATTTCTTTCCCGCCTCTTCCCTTCACCTTCTAACACTCCCATCGAGCCAGCTCAATCTTCAGAGTTAATAAAAATACCGTGCCTTTTTTTTTACACATACCGTGAGAGTCGAAAGTGAGTATACACGTCTTAGAGTCTAGAATATCTTTTAGAAATTTTTTATTACGATCTGGGAATTATGGTGCAAGAATCGATCCTGTTGAAATATCAATTTAAAAAAAACTAACTTCAGTAATTGAACTTTTGTAAATCTGCAGCTAAATTCAATTTTAAGATCGAAAAGTTCCAAGTACTTTTCATCGATTATGGAGTCTGAGGAATTTGTTTGTTTTATGCCAAACTACAACATTATCGTGCCATGTATGACAGTGGGTACTTGTTAGAGTTCGTAGCTACATCTGTAAATGTACATATGTTACAGATATCAGATTCGAACAAAATTGAGAAAAGCCGATATAGAAAAATCTTCTGCATGTTGCTGTTATCGTGGTGCTAGTAGTTAGTTTCCGTACAAATTTCATTTTTATACCGTGTATACTCACATTTGATCATTCACGCGCAGAAAATCCCTGCGAAGCCTTGAAACAAGCATCGCCATTTTCTCTAAAGACCAAACATATACCTACCTCGCATTGTCGGAAGAATCGTACGCCGAAGAAAGCGGCGATCAAATCATCGAGACGAAGGCTCAAAACTCGAAACAGTGTTTGAAAAGAAGAAGGGGGGAGGAGACAGTCTTGCAAGCCTCTCCTCGTGTAGATCGCGCAAGTTTTAGCAAAAGTGCAAGTTGACAGGATTCTTTCCTCGGTCCCCGAGTCCCGTTGAATTCGGCCTAAACGGCCATAGTCCTCGCGTTACAACGAAACTTCCCCGGTCCCTCTCGTTTCGTCGTACTTTCCGTGGCAGCAGGTGGAGTGGTGTAGGTGGTTGGAAAAGCTGCTAGTGTTGTGGAGGGGCGCACGAAGGAGAGAGAGAGGGAGAGAGAGAGAGAGAGAGAGAGAGAGAGAGAAGCACAGGGACAAAAGTTTTCGGGCAGAAGCCAGCAACGAAGAGAGGGATAGAGAGAAGCTTTCGCCGGGAGAATAAGGGAAGCGGTGTGGAATATTTTAACATATATCACGGTGAAATTGGGACGAGGGTATGCTGCCGCGAATCTCTCCTCCTTCTGCGCCACTTTCCACCCCGGTGCGAGCCTCCCGCTGGCAAATCGCCGATTCTCCGCTTCGACGCGGTTATGCCGTGTCCCACCGCGCGATTTGACTTGCTTCCCTGAGAGGATCCTCCTTTCGATACCCCTGGCGGCGGTATGTTTGTCTGTCCTGTTGACTACGGTGGCTGTAAAATGGTAAGGGGGTAGAAACGCCAACGATCCTTCCGGGGCACGGTGTAGCCGGAAAATGGACACACAGAGAGAGCACGGTAGAACTTCATTCCTCGAGTTCTTCCGCTTCTGCTGAGTTTTTGTTGGTTGAATTTATAATCGATCCGTGTGAACGAACGAAATAATGGTAGCCAGTGAAGAAGTTGAGTGTTCGAGCCTCGATGGAGTTCTACTCTGTTTATTTGTAGCAGAATTTTCAAGCTTTGTAAAAACTGAATGTTGCGCGAAAGAAAATTTAACCCTTTGCAGCCGGGATCTTTAAAGAAATATCAGAATTGGGGATGAAACATCAGCTCCAGCGTATTTCAGATAAATCCATGAAATAAAATGAAAGAAACAAATGTAGATGTATATTGTTAATTACCGATATCAGATGGAAAGTAGAAAAGTTATTGAATTAGTTACGCTAGTAATTTTTATTGTAATTATATTGCAGTTAAATTATAAACGAGTGTATTATTGGTGTATTTCGTAACAACTCCTCTCTACGTTTTTCTCGCTCGTAAATTAATAACCTTGTTCGTTCTTTTTGTTTCAGTATGGCTCGGATGAATTCGGCCAGGACTCTCCGAGATACACCTCCCCCAAAGCTGCAGCCCTCTACGCAGACCCCTACTATATCGGTAAGTTGTCCAATACTTTTTATCTCGTATCAACGTACCTTTCAATGTAATAATTAAATTGCGGATGCTCGTGTGTTTATATTAATTGTTAATATATTTATTAGGGGAGGGGGAAAATTATTATTTTATAAAATATTATTATATTTTTACTAACATACATTTATCCTATAATCGTTATACATGCAATTATTCGTCCCAAGTTTAAATGTTTGTAACCCAATTTCCTTGTCTTTACTCCACACTTCGAGCAACGTTTACAGAAATATTTTAAGGAATTCAATTTCTAAATTCTGTTTCTTCAATGCGTGTTGGTAGATTCGCATGTTCACAGCGTTCACTGGCAAAAAGGAAAAGTCGTTTCTATGCCGTTTACCGCGTTCTCTTAAACTGGTATCGATCGGTCAGTCGAAAATCTAGGCCGCTCGTTACCGGACACAACTAAAAGTAACATCGAGCCAGTTTCGTACGATCGATCGATGTGTTGTCTAACGATCTATGACGCTTGTACACGTACATATCGAGACACACTCCCCCAACGTGTCACACACACCGTTGATCTTGCGTGCACGCGTCTCTATATCTGTTGGGAATCGCATAACGATTCGAACGAACGATAAAAGGGATTTTACGAGGTGCAGTAATATTCAACTGTTTAACGCTCGCATCGTAAAATTCGCCGCTCTGCCTGTCGCCAGTAAAAACAATAACAATCTCTCGTTGTTCGTTCGAACCCGCGCGCGTTTCTATTCGCGTTGAAATTCGCGGCCAAACGGAGAGAAATCTCGCGCGCGCGGGAAAACCGCGTAGATGCGCCTCGGCATTAAACTTTATTCCGCGGCAGCCGCTGGTCAAGTGTCGTGCAACGCGATGAAATTATAATTGATTGGTACTGATACTCGAAAGCAACAGAGCAACGGTCAACCAATTGGCAATTTTTGAGAATTATTTTGTGGTGTTTCGTGATATCGCAGGTCCCTGTCAGAAGCGAAACGATCAATCTGAATTTCTGTAATAATTATTTATTAGCAGTACATACGTATTTACAATAGAGGTACTCGTGATTTTTCGTAATAATTTTTGTAGATTTATATTATTACCACACATAAAAAAAAGAGTAGTCAAGTAACTTCAGATTTCTCATAATTATCAATATTGTATCAGATTATATTAAATTATATTAGCTTAAATATTAAATACATTAAATTATATTAGATTAAATATTAAATACATTAAATTATATTAGATTAAATATTAAATACATTAAATTATATTAGATTAAATATTAAATATATTAAATACATTAAATTACACTAAATTACATTGGTGTAACAAACTACGAACACTCCGATAGAACATCGGTTACAATATTTAATGAAAATTCACAAATTTCCTTCTACAATTCTGCGTTCTTACTTTCGCTTGATGCGGAAGTTATAAGTCGTGTATTAATGTCAACAATGACATAGGTGAAGACGCTCGTACGTTGAGAGAAAACAAACCGTCCTCAAACGTAACGCCACGGTCGACACGAGAGCATCGTTCGGCTTTCTGTAAATTCTATCGAGCCGCGAGAAAATCTCGAAATTCATTTCGAGCGGTCGCGCGAGGTATTTTTTAAAGACGAATTGGATGGAGAAAGAATGGTGGGAAGAGGAGGAAGGTGGACGATCGCATCCCAAGTTTCCCAGATGGATTACCGAGGAGGTAAATCAATAAGATCGGTAAAGTTTCGCCGAGTAAAGTTGTTATTAAAGATCAGAGGGTAAAGAAGGCTCGTTGGCCAGCTTCTCGAATACGTTCACCGGCTCGTGACACCCGGTAAGCGAGCGGAATACCTTATAAATGGGGAGGGAACGGGCAGGTTGAACCGGCGAAAAAGTTTTATCAGACATCGAATGCCGGTAGTTGGTAGGAACGGACGAGTAGTTTGGCTTAGTTTTAGTTTCCCTCCGTCGTGGAAACTCCCGGCCACGGAATTATATCAAGCAAAAGTATCAAGAAATACGTTCCCCGAAGCTTATTGCTGTTGTTTTCAACTGAAATAATGGCCGGCGTCGTGGCTATTACCCTCTCTAACGGATGTTCGAAGGGAGAAAAGCGAGTTTCACTCGTCTCGGTGTTTCATTTCGTCGAGGGTGAAACGCTTTTTTACAAGCGGGGAAATGAAATTTCATAGAGTCTGTTTTGATCGCACGGAATTTTAACAGTTAGCCAAATTTTTGTTCCCTTGTAATTACTAAATTTTCAATCGTGTTTCTTCCAGTTTTGTTAGAATACACCGGTTTCATTTTTTTTAAAAATGGTAATTTGGACAAAGTTTATGTACGTATGCTTTTAAATTTCATTCCGTGGATAGTATTTTCTTCGTCGAGATTCTGGAGTATTGTCCAGAGAGAATTGGCAGAAAACTACAAGCACAATATAAATTCCATCAATTGTCTTTTACAATTTTCAATGATATTCGTTCTTGCACATTAGAATCAATATTAATAATTAAAAATATTACTCAAGCCTACAGTTTAGATAATTTCATAATTTATAATTTCGTTTTCAATTCATTCTACGATGGCAGAATTCTTGTTAAATGTTCTTTCCACTTTTTCCTTGGATATTTAATAATATTAAACACTCTTAGGAGTAGATTCGGTGAGGAGTATTATTCGGGCACATGCGCGACATTCTCTGGACACTGAACACCACGTGCTACTATTTGTTGTTACCACTGTCGTGCAGATGCAAACGACTCGCTCGGAAATTGAATAACATTCCAACGTAGAATTTTATTCTATTATTTGGAGAATTAAGAGAGAATTTACGATCGTATCATATGATTATTAATATAATCGACCTGCGTCGTGTCTTTGAATTCTAATAAATCGAAAATTCGACGTGCAACAGGATTTTGGAGTAAAATTTAGTGAATCGTTGCACTTGATTCTTTATTTATAAATTGAGCGAAAATCAATTTTACAGAAGTACGAACGAACTCTTATTCGATAATCGAATAAAGGATAATTTCTGGCGACTAACGAACTTTCTCTTTCTATTCCAGATGGAAACGCTGCAGGAACGGGTCCAGGGGACCCATGGACGGGAGGTGGAGGTGGCGTGCAACCTCCGTACAGCGGCTACGCACCCCCTCACCTGGCCCAACCAGCATACCCTATGCACCTACCACACGACCCCATGGTAAACGACTTTCTTTCTTCTCTTTCATTATTTCCGTTCTCTCGTTTGTACGCGCGCCACCCTCGTCGCTCGGTACGACCCAACGGACGATCAATCATGCGTGACTGCGCTCGTTTCTTCGGACTTGACACCCTCGGCAACTTCGTGATAGACACGAGAGAGAGAGAGAGAGAGAGAGACCTCCCCCGAAAAATTTCTATCGTTGGTCGAGCAGCTGGCGACTACAGTCGTCGTTGGATTATAACCTTCGGCCTAATCTTCGTCTTTCGGGAGATCGATGTCGTCTTTCTTTTAAGAGAAAAGAAAAGCTTTGACACACGAAATTTACACGTGATGTTTAATTTTTCTAAAAAAAAATTTTATTGAATCCTCTTTGTGTGCGTGACAGTTAGTCTGTTAATAACGCGAGCCACGCCGCGAATTTCTCGGCACTGCAACTTTCCGGGATGTTGGCCGATATATTTTCATCGCGGAGGTCGCGCAACGGGAGGGAGAACTCGCCTGTGAAAAATTGCAATCTCCCGGTTAGGCGTTCCGCTGGCAGCGCCATAAATTCAGCCGATTCGCAGCCATTTTTCCAACTCCTTCGAAGACGTTCGACTCGTTTGACATGGTCAGAGTCAAGAGTGTAGCCTACCGGCGATGGCTTAACTCGACGAGGTCGATTCGTCGATCAATTTTAAGGTCAATCCTTTCCATGAAACGCGATTGTGACCTTTTTTTATTTTCTGTTAGGAAAGATCAGATAACTCGTCTTCTTTTATTTCCAATTTTCCGCGTTGATGTGTACATGAAAATCTACATGATCTTACATGAAAAAAAATTCGAGATGTAAGACGTTTTCGCTACTCTCCGTATCTTCAATCGTACATTTTTGCTTTCTTTTTCCTGTTTTAACATGGAATAATATATCTTACTTGGTACTTTATTTTTATGGTACTTGGTACTTGGTACTTGGATTTTTATAATACTATTAGAATATTACTGTCAACTGATTCTTGACTAGCAAAGAAACTAAATCAGGCTCTCTCCGGGCGTCTGAAATTTTCTAACTTAGCCTTGCATACGAGATACAAAGATCCCATCGTGAGCTCTCAACATGTGACACGGAATTTTTCGCGCCATTTTCTACGGTCTCCAAGAAACAAGCGACTCGCGTCGGACGCGACTGTAAAGAATTAATACAAAAGAGAGGACGCTTCTTAGAAATCAGCATCGAAGGAGTTGGCGCCCTCAGCTTTCGACACACAACTTCCTCCCGAATTTTGGGAATTTTTGCAGCTCAACCGATGCTCAACCGATTCCGAGACGTACCGATCCAACGCGGTTGAGAAACACTGTTGACAGTGCTCAGTGTACTCTCGGAGCAACGTCAAATGACTCACCGGCTTCTATATATAGAACGACTCTCCCGCTACTCGGTGTTTCTAGTCAAGTGCAGCCTTCGTTTGATTTACGCCGTTCATGGTTACCACGAAATCCTCCTGTTCGCGGCACCACGGATTCTCCTTCCACGTTCCGCCGAGCTCCTTCGAAAAGGAGTTCAACGCATCGACTCTCCGCGCTCCTCCGGTCTCTCTAATTGCCACTCCCCGAACTCCAATCGTATTTCATAATTGTAAAGATCCGGAGATGAAAAAGTCGCGGGCGTCTTGACGTTCCGACAGTTCAAAATTCGTCTATAAGCACTAAAGCAGCGTCCCTGCCGCGAGAATCAGTATATTTATATCCATGGTGTTACATTATGGCTGTCCCATCTCTAGGATGTGTATCAGGTTGGTCGAAAAATTTACTGCGTTTCTCTTTGTGCCGACGAACTTTTTCACGGGTGACAAAAACTTTGTTAGACATGTTGTCCATTTTGTTCGAACAGCTTCGCGATTCCTTGTTCAAAAATTCTTATCTTTTTTCCCCCCTGGTAGAAAACAGAACGATTTGAATTTTGACACTGTTGCTGTTTGAAGATTTCTTCGCCATCGGATAATTTTTTATGAGCTTGCACAGTTCTGCACTCGTTTTTCTTTTTCGGAGTACGGCAAAATATAGCACAAAAGTTTCTTTTTCTAAAATAAACAATCAAATATCGATATATAGTGAATTTTAAATTTAATAATTAAGTTACTTACGTTTTATTGTAAGATTTATGTCCATCTGTTAGAAAGAAACGCAATTATTTTTTGGCCAGCCCAGTACGTTATACTTGGGCTAATTGTTGGTGATTTTTGTCAAATCCTTCATTGAGTTTTGTACAGATTTATGTGCTCTTAAAAGGTAATTTAAAAAAATCTGACTTATTAACCATGGTATGTGGTTTTATATTTGTATAATCTGATGTTTTCAACTCTAATAATTTCTTTCTTTTTTCTCACATCATTTTGCGAAATATAAATAAACAGTATTCATACTGTCGAATATTCTAAGAGAGTAAATGATTTTCTTGAAAATAATTTAAAAAATGAAACCCAAGTAGAGGTTTTGTTTTACTTATTAAATATAATGGATAATGTATTTTGGACATTTTGTACATTTTTGTATACTCTGTGCGCCTATCTAACTGTTTCTGTCCAGATATATAATTCGAGATGTTTAATTTGTTCGTTCATTAGATATTATTGTTATAATAAATTACAATTGGAGTTTCGAAATTCATATTCTGATATGTTGAATATCAAAGGGTAATTGGTAACCACTCGAAGGATCAATTGTAGTTAATTATCACAATTGTACTTAATTATTTTATTTATTAGATATTCTAATTTATTTATTAGAGGTTTGAAATTCATGCTCTGGTACATCGAATAAGAATTTGCTATTGGTAATTGATAACCCCTCGGCATTATAAGTTAATTACTTCAGTTACAAATCAGGGAAACCTTGTATTTGCTTTATTTATTTTTCGAATAACTGGTCCGAACGTACATTCAGTGTTAACCGTAGGCCAATGAAAGCGAACGTTTTAGAAAGTCTTCTCCGCTCCTCGAGAGAAGTTCAACATTTACGATCCCTTTAGACCCCTTTAAAAATCCCTTCTTCCAAGAAACTGTCCTCTGTGCCACGGAAATTCCTCAGTCACGGGCGCGTAACGTTTCTGAATTTTCGACCGATCTCGGTTGAAAAACGAGAGAAACGAGATAGTGGGCAAACCAGTCGCCGTCAGTTATCGCCTTGTCGTTCTTTCGTTCGTTAAAGCGAACAATTAACCATGTTTCTCGGTTGTGAAATGGCGCGCAAACTCCCTCTAATTTGTTGATAAATACGATTCGCTGTTGAGCCGGAGACGATGACTTAAAATTAGACATTTTACGAGCGAGGGCTACACGCCACTAACCATATCCGATATCAAAGCTGTTCTGGCCTGTCTTCCATTATGAAGTAGACGATTGGCGATTCGTACGAAAGAAGTCGAGCGAAAATCTTCGTTCCACGCGCGAGAGAATTCGAATTCGTGAGATATCTTTTGATAATTCGTTTCTGTTATCACAGCGTCTCTGTTCTTTCCTCGGGAGAGTTACTTTGATTTTCAGGCATTAGTTGTCGGACCATTAGCGAAACGAAACGCGTACGAACTAATTCCATCACGACTAAATTGTAAAGTATATTTTTACGAACGCAACTAAAAAAAAAAAAAAAAAAAAATGAACGGAAGCTTACTATTCATTCATTGGGGACCAATGATGGCTTTTCAGTTGAAAATTTGCGGGTACTTGAAAAATTTTCAAGCTCGATTTTCAAATACGAGAGCAAGATCTCAAGCAACTCTTTCACTCTGTAATAAAATAAATTTACATTAAATAGTTTATTATATATATATATATATATTTATTTGCATATTATATACATTCAATTTAAAGGCATAAATACATAAAATTCATACAGTGTGAAATATCCAAAGTCTGGCTGAAACAATATAAAAATCTATTAAATTCGTTACAATGTCGTATCGAAGACGATTACAACGCATAACCTTGAAACGTAATACGGAAATCAAGAGATGAATAATTTTCTGAGGATCGTTTTAGGCGCAATAGCAGCCGAAAGGGCTAAACGAATAATTTTCTGCGGCCCTGTATCGTTGAATTTTATTAATAATTGCAGGCGTACTCGGCGATGTCGCCAAACGGAGAACCGGCAGCACCGATTCTGGGCTCGGCGGTGACCAGCGCGGCCTCGTTGCCACCAATGTCGACATTCCGGGGTAGCGGCGCAGTTGCGGCAAATAGTGGTACCGGTGCACCATCCCCGGCATCGTTGCAATATAGTCATAGTCCTGGTGCACCGACCACCGCACCCTCCGCCCCCAATTCTGCTCCCACGACGAACCAGCAACCCGCCACGGGGGACAACCTTGGCAAGACTCTTGCATCTGTAGTAAGCACCAGAGTAAGTTGTTCGTTTCTTTTTGTCTTTGTACTTATTCCGATATCTCGACAACCTCCCTAGTTAACCACTCGCGCTGGCAACTGATTGCGGACCGTAACGAGTGACCAAGCCCATATCATACAGTAAATTCGTCGCTTTTTTTTTTTTTTTTTTTTTTTTTGAATTCGTCGGTATGATGTCACTCGATCGAAATTACCGAGAAGTAATAAATTTGTTATTTGTTTTGTGCCTATTTTGTTTCACTTAAATATACGAATTGGGGCTGGCCAAACGTGATCACGTTTCACTCAAATATTTCGAAATTATGATTTGGATTTTCACTGTTGACGTTCGGACGCCGAACGGTGAAATTTTTATAATTGCGCGCTGAAAGCGATAAACTTGGACTGGCGAACGAAGCTCGGAGCCTCTACTTCGAAAATTCTGTGATATTTTTAGACTACGTAGCCGGAATACACTTTTCTTCAAAACGCTATAAATCGTCGTAACGTGCAGAAACATTGAAAAATTGTTTTTTTTTTTTTTCACAACCGAGTCTACAACGGGTCTGAAGATTGAAACTTCCTCTTGCGAAATCATGCTGTATGATTTTCTTTTTTCGCCAGTTTACTGAACTGTGTAGCAATTCATGAAGCATTTTCGACAATTTACGACACCTTCGCTTAATCACTCGTTGTGTGATGTAAAAATTTGTGAACGAAGCAAGTTTTTCACAAAATTATAACAGTTTAAAAATATTCAGTGCTCGAATATCAATGGGAATCATTGTACATTGGTCCTCAACGATTCAATTTTTCTACTATACGTCATTTGTATAAGATCGAATTAAAAAAAAAGAACTTTTATATTTTCTTCAATTTTATACGTAATTTAACCTATTTAATTTCCATTCCTTTTTTTTTTTTACTTTTTTCAACCACGCAGATTTACCCCACGGACCAATCAGTATCGAGTTATAGCAGCAACCCATCCACACCAGTCAGTTCGCCACCACCTTTGACAGGTTCGGCGCCAGGTTGGGCACCGGGTACAGCGCCTGTTTCTCCCCATTTCACGGCGGATCCCAATCGTGGAACCATCCACATGGTATGCATCAAAGCTACGCTCTTTCGACAGTTTCTTCTTCTCTTTTCTTTTCTTTTTTTTTCTTTTTTTTTTTTTTTTTTGGTTACATTTTTTTTTTTTTTTTTTTTTTTTTTTGGTTACAATTTTTTTGTTTCAAATATATACATATATATATATATACTTATCTATCATTACTTCACTCTACACTTTGCAACGAGTCGAATTTGATTGTTTGTTGGAGAAACGCACGCACATGGTGCCGAGTTTATTGGTGAACTAGATTTCGTCGTCGGGTCTCGTTGGAAAGTGACGGGTGCATCTCTGAACGCAGACACGCTTCATCACCGTTTCGGTGCGCTTTAGAAACAGGTCAAGGACGTTCGTAACAGAAACCTCTCGTGCTCGTTCACTTCTCTTACGATATTTTATCGTTTGCACTACGGTCACTCGTCGAGAGTGTACGCCCGTTGTTACACGCACTGACTTTATTTCTGCTCGGGGGAGGATCGGAATCGTTTAACCCTAGAACGACTAAGGGGAGGAGGGTTTTCTCGAGAAGAATCCAGAATCCAAATAAATTGAAAGTAAATTGTTCCTCTCGTTTTGAAAAATTCCGCTGTTGATCATGCCTTGACTTTACGGAAATTTTGACACTAGATTTTGTTACATTTTCGTATCGGAAGTGTATGATAAATTTAGGTGGGCCCCGCATATGCCCTCTCTCGACCTTTTGTCGGACAGTTTGAGACTCAGTCTTTTTAGGGTTAAGATCAAATCAGAGATAACGAAGTTAGTCGTGCAAATTATTTTTTGTTTCTTTTTTTTTTTTTTTTCATCGTTCGACTTCACCCTTTACGCACTTTGAGTATTACGCACAAAGTAGCATGCACTCGACGCACCGACAATTCATCTCGTGTGTTGTTCACGCTGCAGATCACTTTCTTAATCATCCTCCCTCCCCCCTCCGTTCAGTTACACTCAAGTCGTTCGTTTTTGCATACTTTATTTCGCCATTATATTATTATTACATTGTCATTATCAAATTTTTTTTTTCTCCTTCTTCTTGATTCTTTCATTTTACCCCTCTGTTTGTTGTGAACGTTGTGTTGACTTGGTTGTTCTCTTTTTTTTTTTTTTGGTTTTGTTGTTGCGTTGGTGTTGTGTGTGAAGCCGGCGCCTGAACAGCAGAGGCTAGACGATGCCATCGGCTTTCTTCGCGACCATGCCGAGGTGAGGACTGCCGATTTTTAGTTTTTTTTTTTTTCTTCTACTCCTCCCTCCTTCTTGTTTGCTCTTGTTTCTGATCCTCTCACCCACTCATTCGTTAACACGCCAACTCTGTGCATGAACTTTGACCGTTACGGTGCGGAATTTACGTGCGAACGACAACACCTCGATTCGTGTACCTCTTTCGTACTTTTAGCGAATTAATCGCGATACGAGCGATTTTATCGTTAACCCTCTATTGCCGAGTCACAGAGACTCTATACGGTGACATTATCGTGGCGTCGTGTGATTTTTCAAGAATTATTAGCCTCTGATTATACTCCGAAAAATAGCTAATCGCTGTAGCATTAGCGATGAAACTTCGAGTTTCAATTAATGTAAATAAGAGGAGAACGTGCACGTAATATTTTTATTTTACACGTTTTTATAATTCGATTATACATTACAAATACAACATTCAGTTGTTCTGTAGATTCCGCCTAATTATAGTCGCTCGGCGATAGAGGATTAATATGTAACAATGAAAAAGAAAGAAAGAAAAAAAAAAAGAAATTAAAGTTGCGTTGTAAGAGTTAATGGCATGTCGAATTTCCGTCACTCTAGTCAGTTTTCATCACATTGACTTTTAACATGTTGGCTGTTAGGATGGTTTCTAAATTGTTTTAGGAAGATCGGTAAGGATGACTCGGATGATCAAAAGTTGAACGTTACGATGTAATACATATTTAATCCACAATTTTTGTCTCGTAGAATAAAGTATGCAGTCAACGTGTTAAACAGAATCCTGTCTCATTTCACACATACACGCTTTCCATCGTCTTTAGAATATATCTTTGACCCATTAAAAAGCCAGTGTCAACGATACTGCGACAAAAGATAATCGCACAATTAGCCCGTGTATCATTGACGCTGGTATCTTTGATGATTCGAAACGAAATGTTAAACAGCCGTGTAATCGAGTCGAATTTCGGATATTCTGTTGGTACAGGGTACGCGGATGGAGGAACGACTGGACGATGCCATAAACGTGTTGAGGAACCACGCGGAGAGCCAATTAGGCCTTCATCTGGGTCCCGTTGGTCCACACGGTTCCATTTACTCTCACACATCACCACCTCAGCTAGACCATTTGGTGAGAACTCCTCAAAGAAATTGAAAAGCTTTTTCGAAAGAGGATCGAAAGAAAATTTCGTTTCGATAACTGAGGATAAATCAATGATTCAGCCGTTTAATTAAACGGAACGATAGACCGCGTGTTTCTATTTTTAGAAACTCTGTTTCAATCGTTAAGTAGCAGTATTTCTTTACCAACTACTTCATTCCATGCAATTCATCGCGATTATATAAAAAAGTATGACGAAGGGAATTCATATACAAAAAAAAATAATGTCTACGATCGACAGGTTTATGGATCCTTTCTTTTAAAAAAGCTCTTCAATCCGTCTCTATTTAACAAACATGTCAAACAGAAATTTACGACTGCTCTTTCTTTCTTTCTTTTTTTATCAACAGACGAGTCCCCACCCTGCTGTAGCAGTAACGCAACCACAGGGCTCTTACTCCGGTCTGACGCCCACGCCCGACACGGACGGCTCCATCAAAATCGAAAGGTTACCTGTGACGAATGCCAGTAAGTTTCCAGTTTTCTCGCCGCGGAGCGCGCGGAGGTTCGTGGAACACGGAGATAAACGAGAGAGATTGACTGAAAAAGGCAGAAAAAGTCGTTTGGCGGAAAGGATGGCGAAAGACAAGTGTCAATGAGCATTGACAATAGCTAATTGGAATGGCTGCGTTCTATTCTCGGCGTCGCATCATCGGATAAATACTTTTTTTTTCTTCTTCTTCTTCTCGCGAGTTGCAGTGCAGTGCAACCGGTGAGAAACAGTGGTGAGGAACGGTGGAGAGAAGGGAGAAGAAAAAAGGGAGAGGAGAAGGAGGTTCCCAGGTGTTCTAGAGTCAGAGTTAGAGCCCGATAAGGAAACATTAGATAAATCGCGCGAAGTGGCTGCTATCCCGCATTCGCGGTCGTGCCTTTATTATTCTCGGAGACCTCTGTCTCCGGTGTATTGTGTCTTCGTCGCTCTTTGTTTCCGTTTCTCTGTCACGCGTTGCCCCTCTCACCGGTGAACGTTCGTAATCTTTCGCCTCGGCTGCTCGCCTAATGGAATGCACAAGTTTTCCAAGGGGTCGCCTCTACGAAGAAGAAGAAGAAAAAGAAGAAGAAGAAGAAGAAGAAGAAGAAGAAGCATCTCTTTTCTACTGACTGGCCACCATTTTTGGCTATTGGAATTCGGAGCGCAGAGTCAGGATTCTCTTTCTGGCCGCGTCGAACTTTGCACGCTTGTCGTTCCAATTTACTATTGCTACTACTTCTTCTTCTTTTCTTTCTTTTTCTACACGATGGGAAAAAAGAACGTCTGCGATACTTTCACCCGGTGCGGCGTGTCGATGGCGAGCGGCGTTCCCAAGGAAAAACGCAGCGTCGCGGACCTTTGCACACAATCGCGCGCGACTGATTTATCTGGCGCGATTCTGCGCGCGAGTTTCGTGGAAACGCGCGCGGCACGTAGGTAGGCCGGTTAAATGCACTGGCGAAACGCAGGCAGGCGAATTGTCAGGCTGCGAGCGAGCAGAGCAGCGAGCGTTTAAGGAGATGGTTGAATCAGTGTGTATCGAGTGTGCAGTGTAAAGCGCTTCCTGTTTGTAATTGGACACTTTTCACGGTTTCGTGACTAAGCAGACTGCCCAAAGCTCGGGTATGCTATCAAGAACTATTCGATATCGCCGTACACAGCGAAGGTCGCCAACGCGCGCTTCCGGGTGAACCTTCGGTTGCGTTTTTTTTTTTTCTTTCTTTCTCACCGTTTGCAGCACTTGTCCTTACGCGGATCGATGATCGATTTCCTGGCAAACGACGCGGTTTCCATTCATCGTTCGAGTCGGTGAATGCGGAACGTTTAATAGGATGAACAATGAACGCGAGTTTTCTGTGTTCCACGAATGCCGTGAGGAGGGAAGGAATATGAGGCTTGATCGAGTCTTGGGGCGAATTTCCGAAAAATTATGACAGTTGCGATAGTGGACAGAATTGTATTTAGGCTAGATTGGTGGTACTTTCAAAGTAGGCGTTTGTTGCGTATATTTTACATCTATATCACTTATTTTTTAAACCTTCTTTTATACTTTGACGAAATATTTGTATATTTATTTTATTTATAAAAGAATTATTCAGGGCATCGTTATGGTATTTGTAAAATGATTACAAATTGATCACTCTGCCCATTCTCAATAATTACAGCCTCAAAGACTCAAGCTCTGTAATTCTGTACATTTTCTTTAGGCTGATTAATGGTAGTTTTAAAGTACGCTCTTGTTGCGTATATTTTACATCTATATCACTTACTTTTTTAAACCTTCTTTTGTACCTTGATGAAATATTAGTATATTTATTTTATTTATAAAAGAATTATTCAGGGTGTCGTTATGTATCTGTAAAATGATTATAAAATGATTATAAATTGATACTCTGCCCATTCTGAATAATTACAGCCTCAAAGACTCAAGCTCTGTAATACATGTATCATTTGCCTGCCCTCTTCGCGATATCGTAAATATTTTTTTGGGAATGTAAAACGGCGGTATTAATAATAAGTAGAATACGTTTCTTTAGAAAAGAGAAAGGAGCCGCCAGACAGTAGCGGCGGCGAGACGAAACCTTCGAGTAGCGAGCTGGCGGCAGCGGGCGTGATCGGCGCGGCCACCGTCAACTCTACGTCTCAGGGAAAAGGGACGAAGAGGTCGCGTAGATAGTAAGTATATCTTGGATGTGCAGCGTTTGATCCGTGATTCAGGCGTAACGAACATCGATCGTTAGAACGACAGTAGTGAAAACTCACCGAGCCGCTGTTGTGATTGAGGTAGAGCCAGTCGCGAACTCTCTCTCTCTCGATCAGAACACAGCTTTACCCTGTCGAACATTTGAATAAATGAGTAAAGTGCAACGGATGAAAATTCTCTCGCTGCACGGGCGCACGTCTCTGCGTTAAAATTAAACGACGACGGAGAGAAATTTTGCACGAAAAATGTTCGAGATGATAACGCTGTGGGCTGTCGGTTTCTCAATCGATCGACGACACGCGAACGATAGAGACCGGTCTCTCTCGTTGTTCACGTGCAGTTGTAGACCTGTAACTAATCGATTGTATTCAAACAACCGTTGTTCGAGCGCTGACGAAGACTGCGACGATCCCAGCACCAAAGCGGTGCGCGAAAAGGAACGTCGCCAGGCCAACAACGTGCGTGAAAGGTTAGTGAACACACGCAGTAAGCACTCCCGTTGTTATAATATTTCCTCGAGATTACATCCGTTCATCCAGAATCCTCTTCCTCTTCATCATCTCTTTTTACTCTCCTCTCGTACGCATGCCCCGAATGAGAAATGAGAAATGAGAAGTACAACTTGAACGCGTGGAAAATGGCATGTTTACGCTCCTTTCGACACGAGAGGCCCGTATTCCTTTAGCGTGACAATTAAAATGTTTCTGGTTAAGGACAGAAATGATACGAGACCAGGCGTAAGATCCACCAAGTTCTCGTGCTCACCTCACCAATCAGTCTCATTTTAATTCAGCTGCGATTCGGCCCCCCCCCCCCGTATCCCTTTCCTCCTCCTCTCATTCTTTCTCCAGGCATGCTCTGTCACTCTCCCTTAGAACGTACAAAGCACACCGTACAATGCTCTATGCTCTGCATTATTACTTGAACGTGTTGTTGCATCGAGTGCTAGACTCTTTGTCGTATTATCCCCCGTCATAACCGCGAGTCATTCTGTCACACACTGTTGATCGAACGATCTCTCTCGCGACGCAACCAACCGATCCTCTTGTGTATAATGCAGATTCGTTTCTTTCAGGATATGTTGTCTTTCCTTGTTCCCCCCTCCCCCCGCCCACCCTCTCTTTTTCTCTTACTTTGTCCCGACAATCACGACCTCCCTATAGATATCACCTAAATTCTAAAAATGTTCTAGGTAACAGCACGAACTCAGCCTTTAAAGCGTTAGAAACGCGTCTGTCTCTCTCTTTCGCCGCGCGATTTCTTTACCATTGGTATATATGTTCTCTGTGCAAAGAATACGGGCCTTCGGGACTGGAAACCTGATTTCTGTCCACATAACCACAAGTCGATCAGATATATCTGCTCTGCGTGTGTTCAGCCAATGAAGTTGCGCCCCGTGTTCACCTAAGAAGTCGCAGTCGCGATCTAAATTATAGTCACTCTGCGTACATACGTATTTTCGATCGTCTCTGTGTCAGCTTTCTCGTTCTCTGGCCGAGGGTCGTCGGTTTTCTCACAGCTGTCGAATTTTCGATCTTCGTTGCGCTCGATCCGAGATGCAACAAGTCTCGGGGCTCGCTCCCCCCCTCACGTCAGGTGATTAATTGAGTATTGTTATTGCGCAACTGTTGTTCGAGCGCCGAGGACGAGGATGACGATCCCGATGTGAAGGCGCAAAGGGAGAAAGAGAGGCGGCAGGCGAATAACGCTAGGGAAAGGTAAGAGAATGCAGACGGAAGAGAGAGAAAAAAAAAAAGAAAAGAAAGTGATTTTTGCAGTGACCCGATCGCGAGAGTATACCCACTCTCGTGTCGCGTCACAGCGATATTCGAGGAGAGTTTGGCCCGTATTCTATGTATATATGACAAAGAAGCGAAGTTGAAGTTGGATGTCGTTCCTTCTGTGGAACGATCGGGATCTCTTGTCGTGCTATTATGTAGAAAAATCTCTGTCTCCTTTTTAGAAACGAGTTTCTTCGCATTTTTCAACCGTTTGCGGATGGCGCTGTGAAATACCTTTTAACAACAGCCTTGCGAATTTTTCCTCCAAGTGTGTAAAACTGTTAGAAAATTTTCTTCGCAGCCAGATCCATCATTGAAGCCTTCTTAAAATTCGCTGTACGATTTTATTGAACTTTGAAGACGAAATGTCAGGAGTTCTTGGAATTTTGTCGCTTAGTCCTAAAGTTCAGTGTTCAGTATAAAAAAAAAAAGTGTACAACTAGTTTTAAGAGGTCATTGTAAAGAGGAGACTTCAATCTTCAAAATGATGATGGATCTAGCGACGGAAAAAAATTTTCTCAACATTCTTACACGTGTTGAATCTTGCTCAGCGTATTCGCAAAAGTGTTGAAACTAATAGAAAAGGAAAACAACAGAGTTCACTTGCAAAAGTAGTTCATTGTTGTAAATTACGAATTTGCTGTGTGTTTGTGGTGTGTTATAATCAAGACTTGCTCCCTCAGGATACGCATCAGAGACATCAACGAGGCGTTGAAAGAGCTTGGTAGAATGTGTATGACGCATCTAAAGACGGACAAACCTCAGACGAAACTGGGTATCCTCAACATGGCTGTCGAAGTGATCATGACGCTGGAACAGCAAGTCAGAGGTGCGTTCTAATACATAGTTTCGAAACCAATTGAAATGCGAGATTCGAGCGAGATTTTTCTTTTGATGTTCGCAGAACGAAACCTCAATCCAAAGGCCGCGTGTTTGAAGAGGAGAGAAGAGGAAAAGGCAGAGGACGGGCCTAAACTACCTGGTCACCTAGCGGCGCACATAGCTCATCCTCATCCTCATCCTCACGCGCATTCTCAGCCACCTTTCTCCGCGATGCCTGTAAATATTACAATATATTCGTCGGGGGTACGCTACTCTGATAGCTTGAAAAATACAGAATTGTAATTAGGCGGAGATTATGGTTTTGAGAGTGTAGATATTGAAATATACGTGTACGTGTTTTTTTTTTTCTTTTTTCTTTTTAGGTAACGTGCAGTGGACGTAAGAAGTATTTGTATACTCGATGAAAAATTGTCTTTATTAAACTCACTTTGAATTAAAATAATTTTGTGAAAAAGACCGTACAACAAATTTTAAGAGACTAAATCTACTATAATCTTTAAGATTGAAGTCTCTTCTTCGTGACAATCCCTTAAAATTTGTTATACGATTTTTTTTTTTCCATAAAATTGTAAGTGTCGACAATTTTCTATGCCCATTGTACATGTGTTTTAGTTCAGTTGACCTAATGAATCGTAATCTCTAACCTATTAGGTCTGTAGAATATTCTATTTAACGCTTGATCGAAGGAACTCCTTCAAAATTGAGAGAATGACTGTTTGACGTTTTATTGTTTCATCTCAGTAATTCAATTTTAACTAATTTATATGTATACATATTTTATTAACATACGCATTTAAACGCTTCAGAGTAGTGTGCCCTCGTATGAAATAAGAAAACGAAGAATGAGAATACAGTGATTCGACAACAAAAACTATACTGTTTCAGGGCCCACCGCCGCCACTTCAACACAATCCATCGCAGCCGCAGTAGCAGCGGCTCAGCGGCGCGAATTGGGCCGGATCGAGGATTTTAGTGACGTTTTCGTATAATTTTTGAAGCATTAAAGATATCCCGGAACGAGGCTCGGACTTCCTGTCTCTCAAGATCTCCCGATAACCTTAATGATTCGAAAATCGTACGGGGATGTCGCGGTTATTTGGAAACCGTTAAAGATATCGGAATGAGGTTTGAAAGGCAATGAGAACTGCGAGTTGTTTTTTTTTTTTTTTTTTTTTTTACGATAGTCCTCGGTGATTGGTGATAAGAAAGAGAGAGAACGAAAGAAAAAAAGGAAAAACAAAAACTACTGTACATAGAAGAGACGACTGTTTTCGCGAGCGTTCAAGTGTGAATCGAAGTCGCGTGAAGTTCGTTCTGGCAAACTTTCTGTACTTACGCGTACGAGCATGATCGACGGAATGGTCGTTGGAACGACGACCGACAAAAAGGAAATGAAAAGGAAAAAAAAAAATATACACACACATACACACGTATACACTCATAAACACACAAATAAGAGAGGAGAAGAAATTCGTGTTGAACGGTGCAAGCACAAAAAAACCATTAACGATTCGGACCATGTGAAAACGCGGCGAAGTTTATGGAGCACAAGTGCAAAAATTTTCGGTTAAAATTGCAGTATGTAAAACGATAGGTGGAAAACGAGAAGTGAATCACCTTATCCATCGAATGCGAAAAAAAAAAAAAAGAAAGAAGAGTTCAAACATATCTCTCGCAGAATTGTATATATACAGCAGTGACGTACGCCTAATCAATTACCTTATTACGATTATTTTTATTATTACTATTATTATTATTATTTTTATTATTATTATTATTGCCGTCATCAACGTGACGATGGTTATTATTATTTTTATTGTCACGATAATGATTTTATTATTATTATTATTATTATTATTATTATTATTATTATTTTTATTATTAATAATTATTACTATCATTGATTGATGATCGCCGAGGAGATCCTTCCTGAGAGTAAAAAGAAAAAGGGGGGGGGGGGACATTTTTGTTTTTGAACAAAAATATAGCTCAACTCAATGTGTACCCAGTTGCCATGTATTTTAATTTATTTAGATTCTAAAATAAATTTTATTAAATAAAAGGGAGGAATAAATGACGAAGAAAAGGAACGACAGCGAGAAAAATAAAGCAACCAAAACGATTGACACGCGTGTTGTCGTCAGTGCCCGTGTTTTTGCTCCGTCTCTTTCCGTTCTTCGCTCTTTTTCTTCTTTTCCTTCTTCTTTCTTTTTTCTTCTCGCTTCTTTTAATTTTCCGTTTTTTTTATTTATCTTATTATTATTATTATTATTATTATTATTATTATTATTATTACTTTTTCTGCCCCTTGAAGAAAGAGGAAAGTTAGTCTCCATCGTCCATCCGGCCCGCGTCTCCGGCCGTTAACGCGATCAAATCGACTTCTCCTAGGACATATCACGCGTAATCACACAGCTATATTTTTCTTCAAAGGCATATCGAACGTTTCGCACGGTCCTTAGAAGGCAAGGAATTTCTTTACATGCGTGTGTCTCGCTCTCTCTACCTTTTGTGTTCCTCTCTCTCTCGCTGTTCTCTCGAATCCGACCGATTTCTTATTTATTTCCTTTGCTCTTTGCTCGTCTAAAACGACGTCACCGAAAAACGAACGAGATAGGAAGAAAAAAAAAAAAAAAAGAAAACGATTGCACGAGAAACCGAAAATAAAAAGAAGAAAATGAAGGAAGAAACGAGAATATAAACGTAGGATCAGGACCGTGGAAACAGGCCGCGTATGAGTATATCGAAGTTGCAGATATCGTGTCTGTGTTCTCGGACCACGAGCAGCCCGATCGATAGACATAACTCGCACAACCTCGCTTTAACTTTTAAATCGAAATTTTCAACGTCGAGATCGCGCCGCGTCGCGACTCGTATTATCTCCGAAAGAGAGAGAAAAAGAAAAAGGAACAATGGAAGAAGAGGGGAGGGGGAAGAAGAAAAAAAAACTCGCGAGAAAGTTATAAAATCAAGACGACGAGAATTCTGTGTTAACGACGCGTTAGGAGATCAGCGGCGAGATTCATGGGAGATAAAAAGAAAAAAAACTAGGCACGAAGACACGCATTACGCAGATGCGATCACGCACTTATATCCGCGAATGGTAATCATGTAAAATAATAACGACAATAAATAGCTCGTAAGCCCGTCTCTAAGCTAGGCACACCTGTCGATAGTCTTAGATAGTCGAAATGAAGGAAACGAAGGAAACGAAGAGAAAGAGAAAAGGTGAAGAGAGTGCGTAACTCGGCTATACAAGTTTGAAGAAAGAAAAAGGAAGGAAAAAAGGGTTCGAGGATCGCGAAAAGAAGGGCGTCCAGCCGCGCAGTTCTCTACTATATTCGATTGTCATCACGATATGTCGATTGCATATTTCGACACACACACTCTCTCTCTAAGTTGTGTTCGTTCGTTCGGTTCTATGCTTTAACTTGTTCCTCCCTGGCCTTTTCCCTTTTCTTTTCGTTCGTACGGATCGCAGATCACAACGGGGTGGGCCTGTGGCTCGTTTCGTTTCGCCCGAGCCCGGAGGATCGCATCGATCGTGTTTGAAATCGGATCGCGCGCGACGTCGCGAATTTGAAAGTTTCTCGGCGTTGTGCCCGAACTTTGAAATTCGCGGAACGACCCGAATCGATGTGGTCTTTCTCGATTAGTAGTCGACCGCGTGTAACTTTTGTCGTTGAGCGAAACGGTGAGGGGAAGGAGTTGGGGGTGGGAGGGGAGAAAGAGAAAAGAGAACGAACATGAAGAGCGTGTATCGGGACAGTGCGCTACAAAGTTTCGTACGATTAATTGAATTAGTAATAATTGCGCGATCGACGTACGACGACGCCGACGAATCCTCTCGTTCGCCCAGGACACGATTGTCGACAAGTGAAAGATAAAAATCACACATGTATATTAGATCTTAACGAACATTATTGTATAATATGTAATTAAAGGAGAGAGAGAGAGAGAGAAAAAAAAAAACGTACGCAGGTCTGGCGTGTGGCAAAGTTTTCGCGTGACACCGGGCCTTAGGAGGATAAAGAAACTATATTTCCGACAATGCATGCGATTGTTAACTGAAGAAGGAAAACAGAAAAAAGGAGAAGAAAGAAGAGAAAGAAATGAGGTGCGGTCTCGCATTAACATCGATCGAAGCACGAGCTGAATAATTATGCATATATTTGGAAGAGAATTTGGGAGAATGTGGAAGAAAGAAAGAGAGCGAAAGAGAGGGAGAGAGTATGCGTGTGTGTGAGAGTTAGAGAGAGAGAAAGAAAAATTTAAAGAGTGTGCGTCGAGAGCATTTCGTTTTGAGAAAGAAAAAAAAAAAATGTATAATTATCACTAGTAATATTATTATCACTAATAATATAATAAATGTGCCATTTTTTCCATAAACACGGGCGTCTGCCTGATTGCGGCTTCTTTATCATCTTTACTTTTTTTTTCTTCTCTCTTTTTATGCTAATTGGTTTTTCTTGTTTTTCACCGCTTAACACGTGTTCATTCCCTCCCCGTCCACCACCTTTTTTTTTTTTTTCTTTCTCACTCGAGCTTTCGTTTGTACATATTGCACACACACCCAGTATTAGACAAGACGAGCCATCGTGCTGTTAGTGTCTTTCTTTTCTTTTGTCACTTTATTCGTTTTTAAGTTTTTAAGTTCTAATAACTAGCCGCCTACTTATGCATATAAATACAAGAGCATATACATAGTGTAGATACGTTAAGACTTTTAACCGTCGAGAACACTACGAGAAACACTCGTTGTTCAATCACAAGCTGATTAACGAGATATGAAAATGTCGAGAATCTGCTGAGGTTTGTAATACAAGTTTTAAACGTTTTCAGGAAGACTGAGTTCCCGCGATTTCTCTCTTTTTTTTTTTTTTTTCCTCTCACGCCATCAAGATCAAGAACCACACGCATAAATCGTCTGTTTCAATTTTTATACGCAGCTGAATACTATTAAATTTATGATGTTTTTGACTTTCGTATCCATGTCATGTAATAATTAAATGATAATGAGAGGGAACCGCAATGTTTAATCAGAGAAGAAATATCTATAAATAATTCGAGTAGTATTTTAGTATTTTAATCAATGTTCTGAGCGAAAATGTCAAGGAAATATCGTTCGAATACACTCGTTTCTACTTACATAGTCACTCGGCACTTTTTTGAGGCTTGAAACGCTTTCAACGATACATTAATTCATAAGATATACTCTCTAGTGATATCATAAATTTGAATTCCTAAACTGAACCAGCTATTGTCATAAATATTCGGCTTATTTCAAACGAAATGCAAAATACAGCGAGTCACAAAAATATTCGTACCTCTCTGATCGTCGAGACTTTCGAAATTCTTTTCAACGATGATACATATTGAATTACGATTAATACGCTCGCAGAGAATGTTATATTTATATTACATAACATGGAGAAACATGATATACATATCCAAAGTATAATAACCAAGATAATTTCCTATTTTTTTTTTTTTTTTTTTTCATTATACTTTCAAAAGTACAAATTTGCATGGAAATCAGCAATCTAGAAATTATTGACAGAGACGTATTTCGTTCAGAGTTGATAATTGCAGAAGCATACGAATATTTTTGCACGTACATAAATAATTTGTCATTTTGCGAAAGATACATTCGTATTCGTTGAATTATTAACCGCTTCGTCACAATAAAAAAAAAAAAGAAAAAAAAAATAGTCAGTCGTCCTTGTTCGTAAACTTAAGGGAAGTTCGCGCGCGTCAAGGGATTCCCTCACGCCTTGGAGAGTTTCCTCTTGAGCGAAAAGTAGACAGCGATTCTGAAGAGCACGTAGTAGCAGAACAAATAGAGGATGTCTATCCAGTAGTTCCCATCCGTCATCGACATTTCCATCATCAACGTTTTGGGCATTTTGTAATGGCAATACATTTGCGAGCAGGACGTCTTCTCGCGGTTGTAGCCGTAAAGCGCTTGAAAGAAACCGTGCAACGAGTATTTCACGTAGCTAATGTAACTGCTGTAATACAAAACGCGCGGAATGTACTTGAAAAGTGCCAAAAAGCCGGACAGGCTCAGCATTCCGCAGAGTATAATGGCACCGAGGAACGTTCCGTTGGTGGGGTTGGTCAGAACGCCGATAAAAAGGCCGATGCTTTCCGACACCAGTGTCGTTAGAATAGCAACCAACAGGAACATAAAGTACCTGTTGACGTCCATGGGCTGCCCGCTAAGAAAATACGAAACGGAGATGTGAGCAAAGGCCATCAGCATCTGTACAGGTAAGTTGCACACGAACGACGCGACGAAGTAAGTCCTTAACTGGTACCAATTGTTGAATCGCTCCTTCTTCAATATCTCGATCTCCGCGGGGAACTTGAACACCGCCGGCATCATGGCCGTGTAACTGAGATAGACGGATGTGATCAGCAGGAATCCAACGTTGCTGAAGGACTTGCTGCCGTCGTTGCCCGCGTTCGTGTACAACAGGCCCAATATCACGCCAATCGAAAGATGACTGGCGATCTTCAGGTGGGTGACGGTCCAGTCTCTGGCAAGCAGGCTCACGAAACGATGTATCAGCACGATGAACCTCTGGAACTCGGAAGGTGGACAAATGAGCACGCCAACTTTGCTCTCGTCGATGGAATTGTTGTTGGTTAGATACCCGGAGGTGTCCAACCGCCACGATTTCTTCTTGTTATTGGTCAGCTTGACCAGCTGATCGTTAAAATCGCCGTACTCCTTGCTCACCACCTCGATCATGTAGTCGGCCGGGTTGTGGTACTTGGGACAGTGGAGCCCGACGCTGGCAAAGTACGCTATCGTGTTGGCCGTGGCTCCTTCGTACATGCACCTGCCCTCGGCCAACAGGTACACGTTGTCGAACATCTCGTAAATGGCCGCGCTTGGCTGATGGATCGTGCAGATGATCGTTCTGCCAGACCTGGCCAAGCCTCGCAGCAGTTTGATGCACTGGTAGGAGGAGAGTGAGTCGAGGCCGGTGGTCGGCTCGTCCAGAAACATCACCGGCGGATTGTCCAACAGCTCGAGAGCGATACTCATCCTCTTCTTTTGACCGCCGCTCAATCGGCCGCACTTCGTCTCCTTCGTTTTGCTCAGATCCAAATTCTCCAGCATCTCGACGATCAGCATCTCCTTGGACTTTCGGCTGAGGCTCTCGCCGATTTTCAGATTCGCGGCCATCCACATCATCTCCCACACGGTGAACAGCGACAGCAGACAGTCGTTCTGTTGTATGTAACACGACTGTTTCCTGTACTCTTTCCAGCTGTGCTTCCTCCTGTTGCCGATGTACTCGATCTTCCCTGTCCACTTGTCCCTCTGGAATCCTGTCAGGATGTTCAGCAACGTGGATTTCCCCGCGCCGGACGGCCCCATTATGGCGGACAGCTGTCCGGTTTTGAACGTTCCGCTGACGTTGTTCAGGATTTTCTTCAACGGGCCCCTGAAGCCAACTCTCACCTCGCAAGTCAGATCGGCGAACTGAATGTCGATGGATTCGGTCCTCGGCAGGCTTAACAACACCACTCTTTGATACATGGCGACCTACTGATCTGTCTGACCCACTGAATGATACTTCGCCTCCTTGTATCTTGCTTCTGTATTATCCACTGGGTGTCATGCAGATCTTATTTATTTATTCTTTGTATAAGCGCAGAGTTTATTTGCTTACGCTGAGCGTGTTGCGCTCGTTCGTTTCGACGGACTGTACAATTTCCAGCGAGACTCGGAGGAAGAAATTCTTGGAGAATTCGTGCAGATTCGAAGCCACTGTTTCGGTTTCGCAAGTATACTTCACTTGGATCTTTTCATTTGTGTCGAGGTGATTCGATAAATCGATTCTCGCGGACTTTCAGCCTCGATTAGCGTACTATTGAGTTCCTTTAATACGACTAACGTTAATGTATCTAATCACGAGTCGCTCTAATTCGTGTCCCATGACCTTTTATTTTCTAAGAAGAAAGCTTCTAACGAGCTTTCGAGCACACTTGCCTGTCTCGACGGGACTTGTCAATTTTTGCGGACTGAATTGGAATAATGCGTCACCATTGATTATGTAATGATACTTTTATTGGTAAATCTCAATACGAGTAGATTAGGAATTATCAATTTTTACTCCCGTTATTACGTCGAGAGACAGATTAGATGTATGTTGATAACTTTCCAATCTACCTCGAACGACACAATTTACAATTAGTATTATAAAATTGTAACAACGATCAATCGACCGTGAACAGTTTTTTCACTTTTTTTTACAGTTTCAATTATTCGTTCTTCGATTCGTTGTTCATTCTCTTCAGTTCATTCGCCTCTGTTACTATCAGTTTAAACGAGAACTTGATGGAATTAATTCTACACTTCTGCTTTGATTTATCACTCGGCTGTTATCTGGCCAATGGTCCGCGTTTTCATTTTCCTGTTTCTCTCTCGTATCTCTCACGCTTGTCTCGAGCCAATTTACTTTGCAAATGTCTCGCAGACACCTGTAACGAAAAGTAAACGTATTATTGATGATTACAGCCGCGGTTGAATGAAACAGAGAATCAACGAACTTGCAAACGACATAATGCTCGCGTTATGCAATTTATCCATATGCATCTAATTTTATCCTACTCTTCGAATTAAGTAATTATTATACAAAGTGTTTCCTGTTTCCACAATGCACGATTTTTTTCCTACTTACAGCCATCTGACGAAAAAAAGTTTCGAACAAAAGTTGAACGATACAAGATGTAGAGTAGGTATCAATAAAAAAAAATTTCCAAAACTGTTCGTCTTCATAGCTAAATCAAGGTCACTTTGGATGAAACAAATAGGAACACATAATTTTTTTTCCACCGTATTGTAGAGAATATCGGGACGAATTCTGATATTTTTATTAACATGTTACTCCATTTACAGTAGTGGAAATGTGGACTTTAACTTCTCGTCGTATTTGATTCCATATAAGACAGTGTAAACATAGATCTCAGATTAAATATAGGACTAGAATCTATGTGAATTTACTTTCACCCGTTCACATAATATTATTTAAAATATTTGGTTCTTCTTCAAATTTAGTAATGATCCACGCAATAAACTCCAGACGTCGTTCTGCGTCCGTAGCACTGTAAATGTTGAACGGTAGTAATTTTAAAAGGATGATATTTAAAATTACTCAAAATTTTATGAACACTTTTAGGTGACATATCCATCTTCATTGCAACAGCACGTATCGTATGTATGAGCATTTTCATGAAAATGAGCAAGTGTTGTAACAGCATTATCATTATTTGTGACGTGATGATTAGGAGGACGTTTCCCATCAGGAAATTGTCCCGTTTCACGTAAATATTTTTTCGAAACGTTGCTTCAGAAGGTTGCTTTCGTTGCGAAAATCTATCTTTGTACACTTTAGCTTCTCCTAACTTTGTACTGTTCAACTTTTGTTCTAAACTTTTTTTTGTCAGATGGCTGTAAGTAGAAGAAAAATCGTTCGTCTTTTTTACACGATATTTAAGTGCAACGCAGCGATGAATTAGCACTATCATTAATACTGTCATTAATTTTTATTAATCCGGTTTCTTGCGTTACAATTCGATGAATTTTTTCTATAATTAGAAAATTCTCTGTCATTATGTTTTTACGCACATAGGCTTGTTTCCGCTTGAAAAAGGAATAGCTTGTCTGGTAAATTAAACAGGAATAGATTCGAAATTAACTTTTAAATTCTCGATACTAGAAACTCTCGAAACTTGGAATGCTGATTTTATTTTGCAAGAGGAATTTCTTATTTTGAGAATTGGAATTGACACTTCTGTATCAATTTTTATTCACCGCATTTGAACAAATATATACAAAGATATCTAACACAGATTCTTATTTAAGGAACATTTTCTGGATCCTTTATTTTTTCGTCGGATGAAAAATCTTTGAGAGTATACCATTGATGGTAAGATACTTTTCTTTTTTTTTTTATTATTATGTCTTTGGATTAGATATTTGACGATCAATCGAAAAAGTTTGCAAAGCACCAAATACTCGAGATACACGAAGCATTTAAACACTCGTTATTCACGCTGGTTAGACGATTCATTATTCATCGACTTTATAATTTTTCTTATCCGAGTATCTAGAATCTCGAATCGCGAAAAATGTGTGAAGCTTTAAATCTTCGAAACTCGAAACTCTCTTGGGTTTCGGAGTAACCCATCCTTGGTGAATTATATGCTTCGTGAAATATTGTACGAAGAAATTATGAACAAAAAAGCTGAACAATTAAATGATTAATAACGTCTATTTTCCAACGACGTCACTTTTTCTCCTAAGTACGACAGATTTTCTTTTTCACTTTTTTTTTTACGGTCACTGAAAAAGTCACAGATATTTTATCGAAATATCGTAAGCACGTAGATATTGTCGACACTGTAAGCACCAGTAAGGTACAATAGCGTCGTGCGATCCTCAACCGATGACGCGACCCCAACGTCTTTTGATTTTTCAGTAATTAGAGATCGCCTAATATTTGGACGACCAAACTCCGAGTTTTCTTTTTCGCAGTCGTTGGCGAAAACTTGCAGGTATATTTTTTATCGAACACCGTAAGAACTAGTACAGATGTTATTAACAGCTATGAGACGTTACAGTAGCGTCGCGTCATTTTCTACGGTAATAACCAATGACGTAACAGCAGCATCTTCTTTCTGATTTTTAGCTGTCAGCGACACTTGAACTTGTCAATATGATTCCAGATTTTTTTTTTCTTTCACAGTTGTTTGAAAGATACAACTATTAAAATTGATACTGATTTCCGTTCAGAGAGAGAGATATAATTGAGATATATTGTGTAAATTTACTTGAATTACTGCCATTTAACGCTGAAACTACCAAAATGGTCAAAACGATCATTTTACAATTTTTTTTTTTTTTCTTTTTAAGTAGTTTCGGCGATTTATTAGGTTGTGTGATAAGTTCATTAATCGCAACTTTCGGATAATGTGTAATGTTAACGTGTATTATTTGGTTGATTATTCTTCATAAATAAATTGGATGTTACTTTGAAAATTTCAAAGATTCCTTTTATCAAAAAATTGTACGAATATAACGTGTGTGTCTCTACGTTCTTTGAATTATGAATATTCCATTGTTGGTAATAAACAGTGAACTCGAGAGTTTCGTAATCGTGATCAAGTCCAATATTTTCTACAATAATCCTTTGAATGTTTTAAAATTATTATATTATCAGTTATATTTTCAATTTCATATTGTGCTTTTAAATATTTAGCATTGGTTCTTTTCTTATTTTTTGCCAGTGCAGAAAGCAACGTTTATCTACATCACATGTGTATTATTACATCACAATTATATTTAATATGGATCAATTAATATGTCCATATCTTGTTTACTGTAGATCACGTAAGTAACAGGTTTTATAATCTTTTAATATCCTGAAAATCAATTTGCGAACGAATTTATTTCACAACCTAATGAAACGTTGTATTTTTGGAGATTTTTGCAAAATGTATGTACAAAACTTTCTGCTCTTTATGGTACTATAAACGTTTTCCTATTTTGCGCGTCACTTGTGCATCATTTTAATCGTCGTTTTAGTCCTACTGTTAAATTATATAATAATGATTCATATGGTTCAGGTATTAAGCTGTTGTAAAGAAGGAAAATTTGAAATCTGCCGTATTGACGAATATATTAAATATTATGTACCTGTATTAATTAATCAATTTGCATACTCAGGTAGTACATATTAAATATATAAATCAATTGTTTCAGACATGTAATATTTCCCTTTTTAACGAATTCATAGTAATTATGAAAATCAGATTTTGCAAAATCTTACTCACCGTCATCGATTTATTTCAATTAGTCTAATTCGAATAATAATGATCTGTATATCAAATATACAATGATATAAAATGTTGAACTAATCCCAATATAAATTGTGCAGCGTAGATGCATATTTTTCCTCTTTCTTTTTTTCTTGGTTTCTTGAATTCAACAACTCGACAATTTACTTGGATCATTAATTAATAACTTATCTACGTATGCAATTACATATGTTAATCGATGTATCATTAAAGTAATAGATTTAATTCTGTAATTATTTGATTGCATAATTATGCAATTGGACAATTAGAAAAAAAGTTGTGACGCATTGCTTGTGGGAAGTCGTATTCGCAATTTGCAAAAAATTTATAGTTATTATAAATGCTAGTTTCATAATCACGATTTATGAAAATATCGGTAAAGTGTCTGATAAAAATATGAATTTTTCGGCAGTGCCGATTTTTTAAAAAATAAGCAGACGAGAATAATAAAGGCTGTACCCAAGTGCACACTCATTAAATCATTTTGACTGGCATTTCATTAACTAGATTACATGCCAATATTTTTTAAAGCTCTATATATATACTATAATAATCTATATATATATATAAAACTATAATAATCTGAAATGAAATAACGTTCGAAGAGTATAAATTGTAACACTGCAATATTACAATTAACATACGAGATATCGAGGGAAACAGTACTTTATATCATACTATAGTTAGTAGCTGATGGAGCCTTCCCGGAAGATTGCATAAGATCCTCATTTTGCTTTTTACAGATCATCGAGTTTCGAAAATCAATTAATCATAAATACTTCTACTTCTTGTTTATTCCTCCACTTTTTTTGTTAATGGGAGTAAACCGTCGTTTCAATATGATTCATTTGCAAAAATAATTGGATAATTAATTGTTCTTGGAAGATTTGAACTTGTAAATAACCGATATGAATAATAAT